ATGATGAAAGAGTAAGAAAAGAGTTGCAATTAGGAAAATAAAATCAAATTAGAAGAGAGGATCCCGCAACATCTTCGGTAGTGTCCACGAAGTCGAGCATAACTTTCTCATCCGGACTCCAAATCGACTGCTTCCGGCGGCATTAGAAAGCTATTTCAGCTGGCTACAATTCCTGTCTAATGTCAAATTTCCAAATTCGGACTCGAACATGGTCAAAATTGGATTCCAACAGCGATCATGAAAATACCCGCTACAGTTCGAGGACACGAATGCGCATCAAGAAACGTGCACAAAAACACTCGCTACAAAACATACGCACATAAGTAAAAGTACAAAATCATGCACAAAATTACTCACGCAAAACTGCATTCGCAAAAAGGATCATGAAAACACAAACTACAATCCTAGGACATTAATACAAATCAACAAACATGCACAAACACACTCGCTCGAATGGGGACATGCACAAACGTACATGTTAAAAAACATGCGCAAAAGTGCATTCGCTACAACGTTCTTAAAAACACGAAATACAACACTAGGACTTTAATACGCATAACCAAACAACAACAAAAACACAAGATACAAAAGATACAATGGAGTGTAGAAATAACACTCAACGTTTACGTTTACGTTTATTTATTTATTTATTTATTTATATTTCTGTTTTAATTGGTGGATTTAGTATTCTATAGGTACAAATTGATAATTAGGTGTCCATGAAGCAAAAATGATGAAAGAGTAAGAAAAGAGTTGCAATTAGGAAAATCGCTATTTTATCAGCATTGTTGGGACTTGATTCAGTGTGATGTTTGTGAAGCGGTTTGGGATTTCTTCGAGGGTGGATCTATGCCTGCGAGCTTCACCGCTACCACCTTGGTTCTTATTCCAAAGGTGGACTTTCCGACGGCTTGGACAGATTTCCGCCCGATTAGCTTGTGCAACGTGACCAATAAAATTATCACCAAGGTACTTACGAACAGACTGGCACCTCACTTGCCCCACATTATTTCTCCTTCTCAGAGTGGGTTTGTTCAGGGTCGCCTCATTAGTGATAATATTTTATTAGCACAAGAGATGGTCCACTCGATATCAGTTCGTTGTCGAAATCCGAATCTTATTTTGAAGCTGGATATGGCAAAGGCTTATGATAGGGTTCAGTGGCGGTTCTTATTTCGTGTACTCGAGCTGATGGGTTTCTCGGCGAACTTGGTTGATATTATTCGGCGATGTGTTTCGTCGTGCCAGTTCTCTTTACTAATCAACGGGGAGCTGACGGGGTATTTCACTTCGTCTCGTGGTCTAAGGCAGGGAGATCCGCTCTCGCCGACTCTTTTTGTACTTGCGGCTGAGTATTTTTCGAGAGGTCTCGATGCACTATACAGCCGTTGCCCAAGCATGTTTTATTCTACAAGGGGAGGCATTCCTATATCCCATTTGGCCTATGCGGATGATGTCATGATATTTACCTCGTGCCATAATTTTGGACTGAAGAAGCTGCGGGATTTTCTCGATCATTACTGTCGGACTTCGGGTCAGTTGATTAGTGTGCACAAGAGCACTTTCACAGTTGATAGGGCATGTTCTGATGGTCATCTTCGCACTATTTCTCGGATTCTCAGTTATCCGAGAAAGGATCTTCCTATCATTTATCTTGGAGCACCACTATACAAAGGGAGGGACCGGGGCAGTTTGTTTCACACTTTGCTTGATCGCATGCAAGCCAGGATTTTGGGATGGGCTCGGACCGCTTTGGCTTTCGGGGGCCGTCTTGCCTTGATCCGGAGTACGCTTTCGACTATGGCTTTGCATCTTGTTCAGGTTATTCAACCTCCGCAGTACATTATTCAGCAGATTGAGCAGTGCATGGCCCGATTTCTCTGGGGATCTTATGGTAATCAGCGCCGGCCTCATTGGGTTGCTTGGGAGACGATTTGTCGGCCAGTTGGTGAGGGTGTCTTGGGGTTGAGGCGTTTGACGGATGTGATTGACGCCTTCACTTACAAGCTCTGGTTCCGATTCCGTGCCCAGGATTCTCTTTGGGCCCGTTTTCTCCGAAACAAGTATTGTCGGAATCGGTTGCCAGGTTCATCCGTTGTGTCTTCACTCTATAGCACGGTGTGGAAGCGCATGTGTCGTGTCCGAGAGCGTGTTCAAGCTCAAATATTTTGGCGGATTGGTCCAGGTCATGTTTATTTCTGGCACGACCACTGGTTTGGCGATGGTCCCCTTTCGGGCATTATTGATGGTGGTCGGCTAACGTCAGTTCGTGTGGAGTATTATTTGGTTAACGGTCAGTGGGATCGAAACAAGCTAGCTGAGGATATTCCTTTTGAGTGGATCGATAGGATTTGCTCGGTTCCAATCTCTGGTGCTTCGGGTGATTTGCCCATTTGGAGAGCTTCTTCGGATGGCAAGTTTTCCTTGACCTCGGCTTGGACCTTGATACGACAGCAGCATACCCCTACCCCTCTTCTTCGTATATTTTGGGGATCTTGTCTTACTCCTACAATTTCTATCTTTCTTTGGCGTCTCCTTCTTCAGCGTCTTCCAGTGGATACCAAACTTCAGTCTCGAGGCACCTCTCTTGCCTCGAGGTGCTATTGTTGTCCAGATCCATCTATTCCTGTGTCGAGTCTTGTATCTCAGTCTGTCGAGTCTCCTTCTGTTGAGTCGATTGATCATATCTTCGTGGAGAGCCCGACGGCTAAGAGGGTATGGCATCATTTTTTCTATCTTTTTGGCTATACACCTGCACACACTACGCACATACCCCAGATTTTACTTTATTGGCAGCACTTCACTTCGCACACACTCACACACCACACACACATCACGACCATTGTGCCTTGCTTGATCTTGTGGTACTTATGGATTGCAAGAAATGACAGCAAGCACAAGGATATCACGGTTCGCGCTTCTTCCATCATTTACAGGGTCATCCAGCACATCAGGATTCTTCACCAAACCAACTTACTTTCGGCGGACAGCTGGACTGGCATTCCCCACGTGGCTGAGTCTCTTGGCCTATATTACCGAGTCAGAACACCAACTCTCACACCTCATCGAGTTGTTTGGCTTCCACCGGATCCGGGTTGGGTGAAGCTAAACACAGACGGAGCACGTAGAGCATCCACCCAGATTGCAGCTATTGGCGGGATTATCAGAGGTTCGGACGCTGAGGCCATAGTTGCATTTCACGAGAGGATCTCTGCCCCGAGCAGTATTGCGGCCGAGCTTGCTGCCCTTGCATCGGGGCTGCGATTTGTTATTCAGAGGCAATTCACTAGAGTTTGGATCGAGCTTGACGCAGAAGTCGCTGTTCGACTTCTTTCGCACACGGACCAAGGTCATTGGAGTCTTCAGAGTTCTCTCACGGCGATCCGGAACTCTCTTTCTACTTTGGAGTACAGGATTACACATATCTACCGGGAGGGCAATAAAGTAGCTGATGCATTAGCTAACTTGGGGTGTCAGACCGAGTTGGCTCGTACCTTCACAACAGCGGAACTTCCCCGACCTATTCAGCAGATGATTCGGATGGACCAGCTTGGATATCCATCCTTTCGACGACAGTCTCGCACATAGGTGCCATGCATTCCACGTTTTTATATTATTGGCAATTTAGGAATTTTCGTGAACTTTACATGTTAGGAAGGGTTGGGGTGATTATGGATTGTTTGGGTCTATCAAGACTAGACTGTTTGCCGAATGGTGCCACACATTTCGCAGTCGTTATACCTGTTTCGCCCATTTTCGGCGAAAGTGTAAGTGGCCTCGGCTGTTGTGGTGAGGCGAACGGTCTACCTTGGTCTTCCCCGACCTTCTATGATCATTCCCACCCCGTCCTTTTTATTATTTGGGCCACCTGTTTTGCCCGTTTTCTTAACCTTTTGTTAGTTACCTATTGTCTTTTGTTTGTCAATTGCTATTATTAGCCATATGTTGGGCAGTAGCAATTTGAGCGAAACTCATTATGTACTTCTTAAATTTTGTTTTATAAACAGGTAGCGGGTCAAGCCTTAAAAAAAAAAAAAAAAAAGATATTCAAGGATCCCGAGGATAGGAAACAAAATATACCTTTCCTAACTTAAGATGCAGTATTCGGATCCTTTCCAACTACTTATAATACCAACAAGGAATTTATTCCTTTCAAATAATTTCGAATTTTTCTTCTTTTCCTTTTTTTTTTCGGATTTTTTTTTTCAGATTTTTTTTTTTTTTTTTTTTTTTTTTTTTTTTTTTTTTGACAATAGACTCAAGACGAACAAGATACTGGACGAATTTAATGACTCAAGAACAGATGTGATGACGGAAACAAAACAAAAGAAGAAGAGATGACACTAGAAGGAAGAAAGATATGGAATACGGAAAGAAACGAAACAAAAACAACAAAAGACTCAAAGGATAGACGAAACCTTCTTGGAAGATGGCTCTGATACCAAATGATATGAACCACGCCAACCATGTGACGAGACCCGATAACAATACTTCGGTTATCAACTGCTGGACCGCCCAAGAGAAGGAATCAAAAGGGGGTGGAACCGCGACCCGTTGTCTATAAAGAGACAAGAACCTTGGTATGTGCAGACGCCACAATCAATTGTGGAAGATTGATTGATAAGTCAGGTGAACTTACGGAATCCTCCGATATGTTCGAAGAGTTCTAAAGAACTAGAGAGAATAATCTCACAATTTAATTAATGATCAAAAGCTGTCTTTCACAATGAATAAGAAGGCATATATATAGCCCCCAAAACATAGTCTTCAAGAAAGGAAAATAAAACCCTAAATCTACTTAATAAAGGCTCTAAACAAGTGAGCCACGAAATTAAAGAGGGCCTTAATAGAATAGGCCCATAAACACACTAATATGAGCTGATTAGAGATGAACCCACGAATTTAAGGTAGGGTGAGTTTTGGTCTTCATCATTCTTGCTCTTATTTGCTCAACTTGGACTGATCTTTAGCCCGGATGGTTCCCACACTTGTCGGGTGACTCCGCCACTTGAATATGCATAATCCACCCTTGTTTATCACCATTGAATGAAGCTTTCTTAGTTAAGACATTATGGATCAATGCAGCAAGCTTCTCCTTAAATTGCTTAGCTCGGCTCCTCGTCACTGGTCCGGTTGGGACTTGGATAGGATCATCTTGCCAACTGTTGGTTAGACCTCCATCACGAATGCACATCAAGAAACGTGCACAAAAACACTCGCTACAAAATATACGCACATAAGTAACAGTACATAAGCATGCGCAAAAGTACTCACGCAAAAGTGCATTCGCAAAAAGGATCATGAAAACACAAACTACAATCCTAGCACATTAATACAAATCAACAAACATTCACAAACACACTCGCTCAAATGGACATGCACAAACGTACATGAAAAAAAATAAGCGCAAAAGTGTATTCGCAACAACGTTCTTAAAAACAAGAAATACAACACTAGGACTTTAATACACATAACCAAACAATAGCAAAAACAGTAAATACAAAAGATACAGTGGCGTGTAGAAATAAGACTCAACGTTTACGTTTACGTGGATTTTTTTATGGATTAATTTATATTTTTGTTTTAATTGGTGGATTTAGTATCTTATATGTACAAATTGATAATTAGGTGTCCATGAAGAAAAAATGATCAAAGAGTAAGAAAACAAATGCAATTAGGAAAATAAAATCAAATTAGAAGAGAGGATCCCTAAACATCTTCGGTAGTGTCCACGAAGTCGAGCATACCTATTTCATCTGGACTCCAAATCAACTGGTTCCGGCGGCATTAGAAACCTATTTTAGCTGGCTACAATTCCTGTCTAATGTCAAATTTCCAAATTCGGACTCGAACATGGTCAAAATTGGATTCCAAAAGCGATCATGAAAATACGTGCTACAGTACGAGGACACGAATGCACATCAAGAAACGTGCACAAAAACACTCGCTATAAAATATACGCATATAAGTAAATGTACAAAAGCATGCACAAAAGTACTCACGCAAAAGTGCATTCGCAAAAAGGATCATGAAAACACAAACTACAATCCTAGGACATTAATACAAATCAACAAACATGCACAAACACACTCGCTCAAATGAACAGGCACAAACGTACATGTAAAAAAATATGCGCAAAAGTGCATTTGCAACAACGTTCTTAAAAACACGAAATACAACACTAGCACTTTAATACGCAGAACCAAACAATATCAAAGACACTAAATACAAAAGATACAGTGGTGTGTAGAAATAACACTTAACGTTTACTTTTACGTTGATTTTTTTATGGATTAATTTATATTTCTGTTTTAATTGGTGGATTTAGTATCTAATAGGTACAAATTGATAATTAGGTGTCCATGAAGCAAAAATGATCAAAGAGTAAGAAAAGAGATGCAATTAGGAAAATAAAATCAAATTAGAAGAGAGGATCCCTCAACATCTTCGGTAGTGTCCACGAAGTCGAGCATAACTTTCTCATCCGGACTCCAAATCAACTGGTTCCGGCGGCATTGGAAAGCTATTTTAGCTGGCTACAATTCCTGTCTAATGTCCAATTTCCTAATTCGGACACGAACATGGTCAAAATTGGATTCCAAAAGCGATCATGAAAATACGTGCTACGGTCCAAGGACACGAATGCGCATCAAGAAACGTGCACAAAACCTCACGCTACAAAATATATGCACATAAGTAAAAGTACAAAAGCATGCATAAAAGTACTCACGCAAAACTGCATTCGCAAAAAGGATCATGAAAACACAAACTACAATCCTAGGACATTAATACAAATCAACAAACATGCACAAACACACTCGATCAAATGGACATGCACAAACGTACATGTAACAAAATATGCGCAAAAGTTCATTCGCAACACAGTTCTTAAAAACACGAAATACAACACTAGGACGTTAATACGAATAACCAAACAATAGGAAAAACACTAAATACAAAAGATACAGTGGAGTGTAGAAATAACACTCAACGTTTACGTTTACGTTTACGTGGAAGTTTTTATGGATTAATTTATATTTTGGTTTTAATTGGTGGATTTAGTATCTTATAGGTACAAATTGATAATTAGGTGTCCATGAAGCAAAAATGATGAAAGAGTAAGAAAAGAGTTGCAATTAGGAAAATAAAATCAAATTAGAAGGGAGGATCCCTCAACATCTTCGGTAATGTCCACGAAGTCGAGCATAACTTTCTCATCCAGACTCCAAATCAACTGGTTTCGGCAGCATTAGAAAGCTATTTTAGCTGGCTACAATTCCTGTCTAATGTCAAATTTCCAAATTCGGACTCGAACATGGTCAAAATTGGATTCCAAAAGCGATCATGAAAATACGTGCTACGGTACAAGGACACGAATGCGCATCAAGAAACGTTCACAAAACCTCACGCTACAAAATATACGCAGATAAGTAAAAGTACAAAAGCATGCACAAAAGTACTCACGCAGAACTGCATTCGCAAAAAGGATCATGAAAACACAAACTACAATCCTAGGACATTAATACAATAAAACAAACATGCACAAACACACTCGCTCAAATGGACATGCACAAACGTACATGTAAAAAAATATGCGCAAAAGTGCATTCGCAACAACGTTCTTAAAAACACGAATTACACTAGGAAACTAATACGCATAACCAAACTGATACGATCCTCTCGAGATCGAAGACTAAGAATTGGAATATTTGTCCGGATTCGAGGACGAATCCATTTAAAGAGAAAGCGAATGAGATTAATGGAGCCGTTCGTGTTGGAGTTGAAGAGTAAAGGCTTTAATCAGGCCTTTGAAGAGTCGTTGTTGAGGAATTGGAATTGGAAGAAAAGAAAGAGAAGAAGTCGTTGGACAAGTCGAATTCCATGCATCCGAGATTCTCGCCTATTCTGGCAGGGTTTACCATTCGGGTTATAACTCTCGCATCCGAAGTCCGATTGAGATGATTCAAAATGATTCGGAAAGCTAACTGAAAGATCTACAACTTTCATGTTTTGAGTAAAGAGATATTCGAAGTGGAACAGTGTCAAAATTGAGCTTTAATTGCATGCATGTGCACAGCCCAATGTCGCGAGATTAGAAGGGTGATCGAGAAGCCGACTTGAAGATCAAGTTATTTAGTTTACTTATTCACGTTTTTAATTTAGGTTTTATTATGTTTTTTATTATTTTAGAGTCTTTTATGGTTAGGATTTGCTTATTTATTTATTTCCTTATTATAGTTTAGGTAGGAGTCCTTTTCCTTGTGAAAAAGGAGTCTTTTTAGACCTTATAAATAGGTTGCCAATTTGGCTTATTTTCAAAGACGAATTTTCATGAATATTTGAGTATTTTGAGAAATCAATTCTCCTTCGCTGTTCTACAGCAACCTTCGGGATTTTACAAGTGGATTCTTGTAACTTTCTTAGCGCCATAGTATTGGTTTCTGGTTCTCTATAACCACGGGGTCAATATTATATTTCACCTTGATAATAATGGTTTCTAGCTCTTTATAGCTATGGGGTCATTGTTCCTTGCTTCCGCCAAACTTGAATCTTTGTTTTTGGGTGTCTTCGATCTTGCTTCCGCGTAG